TCAATGTGTGTGTGTCTGTATTCAGGAATTTCCTAACAATATATGTACCCAATATACTGGCCTTCTGTAGTGTGATGTGTGTTTCTATTCAATTGTAATGTGTCCAGGCTTTTATGCAGTGTGTGTGATATGACACCTGTAGAGACAGAATGACAGGTACAATAAGCACCTTATCCATCCTCAACAGCTGCCTCATTTCCTGAGTGAGTTCTGTGTACTTGCCGATTTTTTCAGTGCATGTATTTTGTATATTGTGAATGTTTGGAACAGATATGTCTATAATGTATGTGATTTTATTATGTTTGTCAATGAGTGTGATGTCTGGTTTGTTGTGGTAAATTGTTTTATTTGTGATTATGGCTGTGTATTTTCCAATACTGTCTGTGGACTGTATTTGTAGTATGGTTTGTGAATGTCTAATAATTTGTGTTTCTTTGCAAGCTCTTGGTGTATTATATTTGCTACTTGGTTATGTCTATGTAAATAATCTGTCTGTGCCAAGAACTTGCAAATCAGAAGTGATGTGTTGTATAGTTTCTGGCACAATGTGACATTTTCTGCATATGTCATTTCTAAATGTTGTATCTTCGAGTATGTTTTCTGTAGTTATTAGTATTTATGACCTGATCCTGTATGGCAACCATGAACCCTTCCATCTCCCCAAAGAAGCATCCCTGAGCTAACCAGCTGTTTGATGCAGTTTCTTCAACAAAATCCTGATACAGGAAGAATAAGAATGTCTGTCATGGAGTACCTTTCGAGCCCACGATTGCTTAATGGCATCTATGCTTTTTATATGTTCTATCGTGTCCATATGATGTGAGTGTATGTTTAATGGTGTGTTATTTGACTCTACTGCTTTATGTAACTGATGTTTCTTGATTTTTGTAGAAAAACTCTCACAGTGTCTGTATTTGTAGTGAAGGTTAACTATGTAAATGTGATAAATGAATAAAATCCTCGTCTTATATGAGAGTAAACACGGTATACATAATATATGTGATAGGGTCTACTAAATATATCTTTCAAAAATATGAAAAAGCATAAATTGTACTAATTCAAGATTGATTAATTAATTCATAATATTGTAATATGTATGTTGTAGAAACAACCAAAACATGTTTCGAATTAATTTTAAAAACAAAAATGTCATGATATTTATAATAGTATCAATGTTTTGCTGAGTTTCACTACTTATCTCAAACTTCCAACCATTGTCAGAGAGTTTTAGCAATATTTTTCTTTACGAATTTAACATAAATGCACTTTTAGGAATGAACTGTACAACCGACGATTCTTATAACCCGCCAATCGAAATTACGACAGACGATCTTAAATACTACGCCCTCTGGATATGTTTTATGACGAATGTCTCAAACGACTGCCGAATCATCCATGTCCGTGTAATTAGTGGCGCACTCAGGATTTAATCTTGAAGAGAGTCGAGTTGAACGAATAAAAATATTTTTAATGCGAATTCAATTAAATTCCTATCTTATGTGACTACTAATTCACAAGTAGTATAGAAATATAAGGCACGACAAAATATAAATAAAAAAATATATAACAGAGTGAAAATATGACGATCGGTCAAACAAAATGACCCCTAAGATTTTTTTCTATGCGCCGATCTGCATGTAAGGACCTTTTTTTTTAACTCTTTCCGCCCTGTGGGCACTAAGAGGGCCTCCTTTAGCAAGCCCGTTATGGGTTCGGCCAGGCCCACAATGGAGCCCGACATATCAGGATTTTTCGATCTCGGGTCCCCCAGAGCGGTAGGGTGCCACCTTGACCGCTCGGCCATCCGGCCTCGCATGTAGGTAACATCTCTTTTAGGTAACATGCCAATAAACGACTCATTCATAACTGTCACAAGTATGATGTACCATACAATATCATATTACTAAAGTTTAGTATATTTGTCTGCGATATTAGCATGCGATACTTTTCTTACGTTAGTCTTTGTGTTGGTTTTATAAATCAATAATCGGTAACTAAATTTTTTCACAAAATTTATACATATATATTTATCAGCGGCGTGCCGTCCATGGAAACTGTGAAAGCGCTGCTTCTCTTGTATATTCTAAAATATAAATACATATTGTGCGAATATTTTCATATTTTAACGTACTTTGAATTACTGTAATTAAAATTAATATTTTATTATAATCGCATTATGTATCTTATTACAAATTTCTATACTACATGTGAAATAAATAAGATTGCTAGTGTATATTCGAATATAAATTCGTATATGCATATTCCCAATGAAAGCGCAGTATTGTCGAATACGCGATAGCTTCCACGGCCAAAATATTTCAATGATATAAAGCAGCCAGATTACAAGCATTCGTGTATGCGTTTTACAGAGCACCAACCTCACGCGGTTTAGCTGGTAGATGCTACACGCCGAAATATCATAAAACGCTTCCAATGATTCTATCCAGGGTCGGCACAGCTTCTCTATCATCAAATGTCACCGCACGCCACTGATATTTATACATAAATATTTTATATAACCTATTACATATTTTGATCGTGCATTATGCAATGTATATACAGCGTTATCCCGATTTACAAGTACGCCTCGTTCCTGCAAACAGTAGTGGACTTGCCCATCGGAAATTTTCTGGTGAGCTATTTGCTTGGTGATGTTCCTTATTTTAATGTGAGTTCTATTTCACTTGAGAAAAATAAATTAATAAACAAGATATAAACTCTATCTGTCTATCGTATTAAATTTTTAAAAAGTCTTATTCTAATTCAGGCCCATGGTACGATCCATACGAACAGACGTCTGTCATGACGAATGTTCATTTTGTAAATTCTAATTTGAAAATAACTAATCACCGGGTTACCAATTTTCAGAGTAACAAATTCTGGACATATTTTTTATTTATTATGTTTTTTTTTCAAACTAAGACCAATTTGAAAAAAGTGATGAGCAAAAGAAATCCCATTCTAAAAAAATTAGAAACATTTTTCTATCACTTGATGATTATGTCGACAATGATACAACCAGATAGCCGATACCGTTAGTGTCAACCTACCGATCTGAAGGAACAGGGTCGAATCTGGGCAAACCACTGCAAGAATTTTTAATAATGGTTTGTTCTGGATATGTCAGGTGCCGAACCCACAATGAGTTATTGAAACAGGCTCGTTTAGTGCTCAGAGAGTGGAATTCGGAAAAACTAGCGAAAACACAATTAATTAAGGTTTTCATTTTATAAATAAGTTATTTTCATTTAAAAATTATTGTTACTCAATTATGTTTAATATACAGTATACTGTATATTTTTTAATTTAAAAATTTTTTTTTATTTCATACCGAGTTTATAGATTTAGATATAATTTTCAATCTGTCTACAGAGTAAATTAGGTCAATCTTGGTAGAAAACATTTAAAATAAATCAAAACAAAATCACTTTATGGCTAGTTATTTTCATAATGCATGGGCAATAAGATACAAGAATCACATAACAAACATTAATTTTAACCATTGGTCATCTAACCTAAACTGGTGACGTGGTGAGTTAATATTGGATGTGCTTGTGTGCAGCGCCAGATCGAATAGGTGCGGGGCCCGATTGAATTTTTTTTTTTTTGCGGGGCCCCTCAAACTTTATATAACAAAATTAATTAACAGTTAGTTTACATATTGAAATATGTTGTTATATTTTTAATAATAATATACCTAGATATTTATTTTTGTAACATGCACTATTTTTAAATATATAAATTTTAATGTGCTGCGGGGCTCCTTCAAGCGCGGGACCCGATTGGCACAAATCATTCCAATCGCCTCAAATTCGGCTCTGCGTGTGTGTACTGTACATTCCCATCCCTCACTACTTGTGAAAAATTTTTCTTAGCAACAAAAGGATATTATGTAATGCAATTGCCATCATATTGTATTAAAATGATTTTTACAAGATTATTATTGGAATTATTCTATGTTTGTGACAGAATGCATGGCTTTAGATTTTAATCAATGAATCAAAAAATATCAAAAAATGAAAATCATAAAGTATTTGTATTAAATGGAACAATCATACTTTGTATAACTTGGTTGAATCACTGAAATTACACAACTATAATTTATATTCATAAAACAGTGATATTCTAATTGAAAAATAATTGGCTTATTTTCTTCACAAAAATTTTCAAGTTAAAATTAATTTATTTCAATTATCATTAATGAATATTTTTTTCTATGAACATTCCTAAATTTTTTATCAAACACTTTGGCTTCCAGCATTCAAATTTCAACTAATTTTCATTAAATCAATTATCAGTTAGCCAATTATTATTTATTTTTTTTTATTAAGCTCATATCTCAAAGAAATGAAGAAATCTTCAATGAACAGAAGAACAATCCACTATCATGGCTGTTTTAACCATTAAGGATTAGGCACATTCTTTTACATCTGGGAAGATGTAAAAGGGGAGAAACTGTTTTACAAACATATAAAAAATGTATAGGGCTTTTAAACTGTGGTCTAGTACCTGTTCTACCAGAGTCAGGCTTTCAGCAACAGTAGGACAAAAGATTGAAGTGATGAAGAGGCATCAGAATATCTGAAAGCTTACAAATCCAGCCTTACTCACCATGATTATTATTAATTCATAAGATATTAAAACTAATATTTTTGTAATATTCTAACACAACAGAATTCACATAAGTAAAAACCATGCTAAAAATATTGTCTTCTTTTAATTTTTTTTTTTCGCATTATAATAGTGTTTGCACGATTTATGTAAATAAAATGTGCTTGTACATATTTATCCAAATCAAGAAAATCATAAAATACCATTGAATATAAATATCATACTATTTTATTAATTTATAAAAATCATACATTAAATCAATTTATATTTAAAAATTTTTTCTTAAAATGTTTTTGTGTGTATTTTTCAAATAAATTTTATCATTGTTTAATATTATTTAAACAATGATTTAATGACCAGTTGCATTATATATCTGAATAATTGAATACTTAAAATATTATAATTTAACAGCCCTCTGATGTTCATCTCTATGTGATTCTTCCCAATCTTCTACTTGGCACTTTTTAGAACAATAATAACGAGGAACTAAAAATTTTTCTGATTTACATCTAGAACATTTTTTGTACAGTTTAGGTATTGGTTCTTTGGTCATACATTGAGCACAAACACGAAGTTTAGATGTTTCATGTTTTACATCTTGGACATTTTTATTTAATTGAATTTTATTTTTTGAAGAATTACTTTTCATTAGTAATCTTCCTGTTTCTAAAAATAATTTAAATCCTTCAATATCAAGTCCTCCATTATCTTTAATACTTTTTTCAATAGTATCTAAATTATCATTAATATCTTCTAAGTCTTTTGAAAATTCATCAATTTCATCATCAATATCAGATGAAGTTGCTTTATTACTGAAATCATTTCTCTCTTTAGAAGTATGAAAGTTATCTTTTGAAATATTAGCTTCGACTTCATCATCATAGGTAATTTCATAATCACAGTCAAGACCTGATTTACTTTGAAAGGTCTTTGAACATTGAGATAAATTATTAGTTTCTTGTACTTGAATACTTTTATGTACTTTTCCTTCCTTTTTGTTAAATACATTTTCATCTGAACAAATGGTATTTTTAAAAACATTGTGTGTTGGAAATTTATCAATGTTGGTGACATTAGTCTGTTCACTAACTAAATTGCATTTCTCATCAAACAACAAAGTATCCTTCATTGTAAGTATTTCAGAATTTTCTTCAAAATTTGTTAATGGAATGCTATTTGATAAATTTAAATTAGCCTTATGTTCCGTTTCACTTTCAATATAATATTCATCACAAATTTTAGTTTTTTTCATTTCTTTTTTATATCGTTTTTCTACTTTTTTTGGCAGTTTTATTTTCAAGTTGTCACCATTCACATTCTCAGATTCATTAACTTTTGCTTTCTTATCACCAAGTTTTTTGCAAAGTCGTTCCTTTGTTAATTCTAATTTGTCAAGATGTTCAAAAATATTAAAAATATTACTAGAAAATTCAGCAAAATTAGGACAACATGGTCCTTTTACTTTTTTTCTTTTAGGGCATTTACAAGGTTTAGAGAGCACAAGTTTATTGATTAATTTTGTTTGAATATTTTTTATTTCAGTATCAGCAGCAGCATCATCATCATCATCAACTAAAGTTTTACTTTCACACATACAAAACATACAAAAGTTTCTAGTATCTTCTAAATAACATGAATCTTTATATATTTCTCGAGAAAATAGTTCGCATATATTATCTGTATTCAAAATATCTGTTAATTTTTTATCCCAGTATATAAAAAGGTAATGTTCAAATATGCCTGGTTCATAATTACTGTCATTCCACTCTAAAGGTGGTAACCAGTATAAACTTTTATGTTGAGTGTTTTCTGAAGATTCTTCCTGAAACCATATTTTAAAAATATTATAAACAGCTCCTGCAAATTTCACATAAAATGGAATGAGCCAAATAGCTCCTTTTCTATTAAGATCGCCGAACAAACGTTTACACGCTTTTTTCGTCTCATTACAATAAAATCTGCTATTTTGCTTGGGTGATCCCGACGACAAATATAGAATTAAATGCTTATTTCTTATTATAGTAACAATATCATTGAATAACATTTTAGCATTTGAAAACTGTCCTTCTATAAATTTCTTATGAACAGTAACACACGCTTCGTCAATTAATCTTCTTAGCTTATTGGAGCAAAAAGGAAAAGTCTCATCATTACGTAACTCACTAGCAAATCCACATTTCCAGGCGAATGATCTGTATGTTATAAGAAAACGTAACCAAAACGACTGGCCTTGTTCTAAATGCATCTGCTGCCATTGCTGAAGATGCGACTGCATGTACTCGTCACACTCACAATCAATATCTTTATCGAATAATTCAAAATCATCGTCTGATAACTTAATCCACTTCATAATAATTGTAACCGATAAACAAATAAAATCGTCACACAAATATCGAATCACTTCACGTACTACAAATAATTCCTCTCACCACGCAAGAGCAAATGCGTACAAGGCAGTCCTGCCTCCTGCGGCGCAAAATAAAATTATTTAAAAAGTCGCTTCTCATTGGATAATAATTTTTAAAAAATAATCTCGTGGTACAAACCGATAAATTAGGATATTTTTTTGTTTCGTAATTATAAAAACATATTAATATATTTTGTATAATTATACGAAATTAAATAATTTCGCACTTCCGCAGAAAAAGAAAACATCCGATGACGTAAAGTTAAATACAGTATTACAAAGGCAAAATTTATTCAAAACAAAAATTTTAAAATATATAGGAAAAATATTAACAAATATTAAGTAATATAAAATTCATAATAATAAAATGCATCGAATTCAATGACCTTGAACAGCAAAAATCTTTTTAAAGCTTGAGCGGACGCAGCGACATCTACCGTTGACTCATGTTACAAATTGATTCAATCATCAATCTGCGAAGTAGCAATGGGTATCGATCGCGTAACTGTCCAGTGGCGGTTCGTAGCATGTAATATGGGGTGACGTTGCAAGAGAGCGCGAGATACTCAACACTAATAGAATCGTTTTCATTCCTATAAGGTTAATCTGTTTTGATGAAAATATTAATATTAACTTAATCAACACACCCATATTAGACACCATGAAACGCCTCTGTAAATATCGATACTTTTTAGTCGATAATCAGTATCGATATATACAAGAAAATTATCGATAGTCCGATATATCGGTTAAGAAATTTAAATACAATAAACGTCTTCTATTCCTCACGGTTAGTTTTTTCTCATGGAAACCATAATGTTGTTAAATAAAAGATGATAAAATAACTAATGCACAAACAAACAATGATTTTATTTACAATACAAAATGAAAACATTAGGAAAATATGTTGTAGCTACAATAATACAGTAACATAGTCTACATTTAAAATTTTTTTAATTCATCATCATCTAGCAACTCGAATTGGAAGTATGCAGATTGAAGCGTATAAGCTCATGAGCGCCGCTTGGTGGGATGTTTGATGAAAAAACACTGTCATAATCCAATAGATTTTTTAAATATATCATTCTAAAAATTCGTAAAGCGGGAATTACCTTTATATAAATTTTTCTTTGTGGATTTATCTGTTTGATTTTAGGAATTTTATAAAACAATACATTAATACTTCATTACTGTTTTGTTATTTATATAATCACAATTGGTTATTTATATAATCACAATTGGCTATTTAAGACTACTATCTTTACTATCTGGCAGCATGCTTGAGAGAATATGTACTGAGCGTGTTGACTATTATATATAAGGGCGCGTCCACACATTCGCTATTCGCCAAATGATTAATACTGGCCTTTCGCCAAACTATTTACCGAACTGTTTGCTCAGCTAGCACACAGGTACACACATTCGATGATCGTTGCGGGAATGACGAATGTTCGTCTGAAATCTAGAAATTGGATAATTCTCAAGCAATAATTTGTACCATAGCTTTTATAGTTTATATCTTCTAATGGGAAAAAGCCTAAGAAAAGATTGTGGATGGTATCAATTCACCAAAGCAGAAAAACGTCAACGTAAACAAGAAAGGAATTTTAAAAACCATATTGCACAAATATCCCAGGAAAAAAAACCACAGAAAAATTAAATAAATTTAAAACTATTAACCAAATCGAAAATATAAACTAAATTCAAAAATAAAAGACTAGATGTAGTTTTAAAAAGACTAAAATAACAATAGTGATGACGAAAAACAAAATATATATATATATATATGAATGTGTGGAGGCGAATATTTATCTTTCTTTGATTCGGCACAGTTTACCGACAAAAATCTGGAAACGGCGAATACTGAACATTCGTCACGAGTAAACCGTTTGCACTACTCGGTATTTGTTAAATGTTTGCTCGGCATTCGGCGAATAGTGAATGTGTGAACGTGCCTTAAGCAAGGCAGAACGATTACATTTACGTAAGCGCTTTAGTCAATTCCTGGATATTTACTCGATTAAACGCGAAAATAATCGTGTCCTATATTGTACATCACACGAAAACTATCGATTATCGACAGTATCGAAATGAAAAACAATCGATGGCAAGTATCGATACACTATCGCCCATCACCATCAGGTTCTAAAGGTAAAATTTAGATGTTTCGAATTTTTCTAGAAATGAGAGAAAAAATGTTCTAGAACGTTCGATGTGGATAGTAACCAGAGGGCATTTCATCACATATTTCATTGGAAATAGACGCATCGTCAATGCCTGACAATATTAAACTTTTAATAGAACACATTCGCATGCTGTTACTCTATTACTTCAAAAGTTGCCATAACGCAACAAAGGCTCACGAGATCTGCAAAGCATTTAGTGAGGATGCAATAAATTGGCAGACTTGCTGCAATTGGTTCAAGAAATTCAAGAATGGGAATTTTTCGCTTCAAACTGAACTCCATCCAGGCAGTGGTTCCATCATTGATGACGACGTTCTCATGCAATGATAATCCACGGTTGACCACCAGAGAATTAGCATAACAACTTGAGCGTTCCCATACACTCCAAAAATTGACAACGTCTGATACTACCACGACAATATACATAGAGCACAGATGACCTTAGAGAATCCGGCCAGTCTGAGCTGGTAGATTCTGCCTCATTCACCTCACAGACCAGCCCAGACTTGACGTTAGCTGATTGCCATATATTTCTCGTCCTGCAGAACCATATTATAGTTCAATGACAATACTCACGTGAGAACGATGCTCACGAGATTGAAAGTTTGCAGAAAAGACGACAAGATAGGTTTGATATTAATGGTGATTACCTACAAGAATAAAACTGTAATTGTTGTTGAGTTACTTGTCAATGAAGCTTTTTCAAAATGTTTAAATTTCACCTTTACTGCCTGATACTAAGAAATCCCGTTAGTCTACGATCTTTATTTGGAATAAGATATCATTTTCATTGTACAGTATTTAAAAGTGAATCAGTATTGCATGTGTAAAAATCTATTGCATCCTAACGTTCCATCGTATTGATGGACTATTGGAAATTGTGTAAAATCGAAAACAAACAGTTCATAAAGACTTTTTCGTTTAGCATTTTTAAAGCATCTCTGAAGTAAAATAGTTTTAAAACACTTATCGTAAAAATTTATTAAAACATTACGTTTCTCTAAAATCACTTTAATATATACAGTACTGTAATATGTAAAATCATTCGATTCGAATTCAATAAAAATTTAATATTTATATATTGATGTTCAGTTAAATGACTGTCATTTAGGGCCAAAAGTATNAAATATTGAAGTCTTAATATCACTAGAAAAGCGTTTAAAGCACATAAAATCATATTAAAATATATACATTTACAAGTATGTACTGTATTTACAGTACATGCATTCGTAAATTTAGATTACTTTTTCTGTACTATATTAAAAACTAAAATTTATTTGTAAGCTTAAAATAGATCCTCATTAACCATATATTATTAAAAATGCATTAATAAATAAAATACAGAACTGGGAATGGTAATTTATGGTTTAGCCTAGCGACAAGTAGATTCGGAGACAAGTAAATTCGACTTACGTCGTTTTTCGACTTACGTCGTTTTCCTGGAACCAATTACCGACGTAAGGCGAGGTATACCTGTATTATGTTGCATAAACCACCAATTTGATGGTTTTTCTTTCTTAATTTAAAAGGGGCGGTGCTGGGTCATTTGTTTTTGCATGTGTGAAAACTTAATGGCTAGGGTCCTATCAAGGACCGATCAAGTTACACCTACGTGTGGGTGCGAGATTCGGGGATGTCTTTTGTTTGGGTCAGTTAGATGGGCAAAACCTGACCAGAGTCCAGTCCGGACCGTTATAACCATCCAATTTGAAATTCTTTGTTAGAGATTAAATGGGAATTTCACAATTAGAGATATTTACACTCTAAGATACTAACAGTGTCTTATATGTCCATGTGTTTTTTTATGCCATAAAATATAGTAATTTGGTAAATAAATCAGATAATTACACACCTACTCCTCTTGACATCTCCTTACCTGTCAACTAAGGGAGGTGTACTGTACAGTACTTCCTTCTCCATTTAATAGAATGGTCATTGCATATATTTTGTCAAAAAATCTTACTTTTAATATTTTTAAGAAATATGATGGTGTATTAATATCTATAAATTCTATTTATAAATTTTATATATTATATTTTAACAATTAGATTTTATATTGTGATTTTATTATTATTATTATGTTGGTGTTTAGTGAGTTATACTCAATTGACACCAATTGCTGTGTAGTATGCCAGACAAGAATCAAGGCATAGCAATCAAAACAAGACAAAAATTAAATAAGCGTGTCAATGTGTGTGTGTCTGTATTCAGGAATTTCCTAACAATATATGTACCCAATATACTGGCCTTCTGTAGTGTGATGTGTGTTTCTATTCAATTGTAATGTGTCCAGGCTTTTATGCAGTGTGTGTGATATGACACCTGTAGAGACAGAATGACAGGTACAATAAGCACCTTATCCATCCTCAACAGCTGCCTCATTTCCTGAGTGAGTTCTGTGTACTTGCCGATTTTTTCAGTGCATGTATTTTGTATATTGTGAATGTTTGGAACAGATATGTCTATAATGTATGTGATTTTATTATGTTTGTCAATGAGTGTGATGTCTGGTTTGTTGTGGTAAATTGTTTTATTTGTGATTATGGCTGTGTATTTTCCAATACTGTCTGTGGACTGTATTTGTAGTATGGTTTGTGAATGTCTAATAATTTGTGTTTCTTTGCAAGCTCTTGGTGTATTATATTTGCTACTTGGTTATGTCTATGTAAATAATCTGTCTGTGCCAAGAACTTGCAAATCAGAAGTGATGTGTTGTATAGTTTCTGGCACAATGTGACATTTTCTGCATATGTCATTTCTAAATGTTGTATCTTCGAGTATGTTTTCTGTAGTTATTAGTATTTATGACCTGATCCTGTATGGCAACCATGAACCCTTCCATCTCCCCAAAGAAGCATCCCTGAGCTAACCAGCTGTTTGATGCAGTTTCTTCAACAAAATCCTGATACAGGAAGAATAAGAATGTCTGTCATGGAGTACCTTTCGAGCCCACGATTGCTTAATGGCATCTATG